ACTCTGACACACATGGGGTCACCATGAGTTAGAATCAACTGATGGCAATTGGTTTGTTTTTTAAAAAATATAGCATTGTAAAAATCATTAAATTTTTAAATAAAAGTGCTGCTTTATTCTCATGCCCCTAACTTTCATTTTATAATGGCATGTTTGACCTCAGCCGCAACCTTGCACAACCAGTGAGGATTGTACTAGACCACAAGCAGGAAGAAGCCTGCCAGAGAAAGTGGGAGCCCTTGCTAAAGCAAGGGTCAGGGGTTATTTGTAAAGAAAAAACTCTTTTGTTCCCTCTGTTTTAGTGGGTGGCTTCCCAGTTAGTAAACAAGTCTGCTTCAGGAAAAAGGATTCTCTGAAGCGCGAATGACCTTCTTTTGGTAGCCACTCACTTGGCCGGGATCCCCAGCCCCCACAAGCTGCCCTTTGGAAGGGACACCAACCTGGTGGCAGCCCTAAAGAGCCCACAGATTGACAGTGCAAAAGTTATGGAAAGTGGCCTCCGTTGAACTCCTCAAATTACCACCTCTGTCCTCAGGACCATTGTGGAACCAAATCCTCATCAACTTAGACTTGGCCTAAAGTGGAATTCTCATCCTGGATCATGTTGCCTGAGGGTTCCAGCACTTTCTCTCTCTTCAGATCCCTTCAGTTCTGATGACTGTAACACCATTTTAATCCTTATGTGTATAAAGAACACTCATTAATGTGAGAAAGTGCTTACATCAGGTATAATAAAAAAAGAAAATGCAAAACTACATAGGAACCAAGAACCCAATCTTGTAAGGCAAAAAAAAAGTATTGTGTATTGAAAAAGAAAAAAAACCCAAAATGTTATCAAGAGTTCAAATTTTTAAAAGTCATCAAAATTAGAACAAAATGGGCTTTATGACATTAATTTCACATCATATTTACTTTAACTTAAGCAAATTTAAACATGAATTGTCTTTTTCATTGTTTAACCTTCAGCCCAAAGTGAAATCATAGAACATGATACTTTGATACTTAAAGGAGCCACAATGATTATATTCTTATCCTCTGGGGTTGTTTAACTTTTTACACCTCTTGTTTAAGTTTTTACACCTCTATGCAAACAGGAAGGAGCCCTAGTGGTGCAGTAGTTAAAGCGCTCAGCTGCTAACGGAAAGGTTGGCAGTTGGAATCCAGCAGCCGCTCTACGGGAGAAAGATGTGCAGTCTGCTACTGTAAAGATGTTCAGCCTTGGAAACCTTATCGAGTAGTTCTACTCTGTCCTTTAGGGTCACTAGGAGATAGAATAGACTCTGCCACAATGGGTTTGGTTTTTTGTTTTGGTTATGCAAACAAGTTGTCCTTCCAAATAGGTTGTTCAACCTAGGAAAATAGGGATTGTGTTTTATTTAACTCTGTTCCCCCCAGATCCCAGTGCAGCACTTTGTCCAGGGTAAATTATCTGCAAATACTAGTTGATTGCTTGGTTACTTGAGACAGGAATAGCCAGTTGGCTTAGCCAACGTTCTTGGTTCTTATGTGGTTAAATGAATAAGTGTTCTCAGGCCAAATAAACTGGATTTTAATCTTAGGTCTGCTGCTTTCTGCCATCTCCTTGGGGAAACATTCCAACATCTCTGATAATCTATTTCCTTATCTCTGTAATGGGTATGAAATAACCACTTCATAGGGTTGTTGGGGATATTTAAGGAAAGATGCACACAAAACAATTCAGACAAAACGATGAACCATTTTCTTTCTCTTCTCCACGTTGCCTTCGGCCCTGGTCCCGGCGAGTGAAAAGAGAAGGATCACCAATCAACATGATAGTTTTTTGATTAAAGTTCTCATAGAAGATACATTTGACATTCTGAGTTTGTGGAAAACCTATGTCATCTTGAGATCACAAAGTTTGGATAATTAAGGAATAGATGTATTT